TTTCAAAATCGAGCAATTTTTTCCCGTCCGTACACTCATAAATTTGAAGTTTTTTCGAAGCGTGAACAGGCAACATACAGCTGTCCACGTGAGAAGCATGGATCTTCAAAATTAAGTCAACACACGTGTAGCGATTGATCCACCCATACAATAGCTCTGTTTGAAATAATATTTTTATAGCTCACATAATGAAAAAATACGGTAAAATAAGGCCCCCGGCCTCAAAAAGTGAAATTGTAAAATGTTGGTAATAATTCAGAAACCTACTTAGGCCAACACACAAACTGAAATGTCGCAATTTGTATTTGGTTCCATTCCATCCATCCATGCCATAGCTCTGGTTGAAAATATATTTATATAGCACATATTAGGAAAAAATAATTTAGCCCCCCCCCCCCGTCCAAAAAGATATATTTCAAAATGGATAACCTACTTTATAAATCTTTGTATGCTTGCGAATAACAAAGTATAAAAGTTTCATCGCAATCGGATGTATGGTATATGAACGCACACGGAAATTACACTGAGCTCATAAATAGGAAGACGGACCCAAAACGGACAATTGTAAAATGTTTGCTATAATTCAGAAAAATGTGCGGGTGTATAAATCTCCCTAAAAGTTTATCTTATTCGGATGAATGGTATAGGAGCGCATACACACATACATTAATTTATATATATACAGCCAAACCCGCTTATCTCGACCTCAGTTAACTCGGCAACCCTGTTACGTCGACAGTTTTGAAGTGGATCTGCAAAATACTCTCTTTTTCTCAGCATTTTCTCCTCGGTTATATCGATTCTTTCATGTCGCTGAACCCTGATATCTCCAGCACAAAAGGCCACTTAAACTCGGTTATGTCGATCCCCATGACCAATCGCCGGCTTTTGAAAATTATATACAACAGAAAAGTGCCTACTTCAAACTGTTGTATTTGAAATGAAATGACAATATAGTTGTCCTCGCATTCAATTTTACACAGCAAGACGCGAGGAGCGAGAGATCTTGCAAACAAAGGAGAGGGGTCGCAGTAAATCTTCTATTTATGACAGACCCGCTTGTCACTTAGTACTTAAAAGGTTTTCAATCGTTCTTACATTAAAAAAAAAAAAAATAGAAACCGTTCTTAAAAAAACTGAACCGGCTAATCCGGAGCGAGAGAAAATAAAATTTTAGCTTTACTTATCCCCCCCCCTCTCCGATTCAAATTGCAATACCTTCATTTATTTATATCCGAAAGAAGCTCTTCCCGATCTCTCCCTCCTTAACACCTGCTACACAATTTCAAGGTATAATGCTGATTGTGGGTCGGCACAACCAAGCAAATGTTATTAAGGGTACTCGGAATTTAAAAGGTTGAGAGAAACTGGGTTAGGATTATATTATGAGGCTATTGTTGCTTTGAAGCCTTCAATTTTGATGCCTACGTTGATCGCTACGCGTTCTGTACTTGCACTGATCTCTTATCCCCACTCTCCCGGGGGTGGGTGGAACACATAGATAAATGAGAAAATAATTCGACATCCCGAGTATTTCATAAATTTTCCGAAACCAAAACCAATTGTAAGAAACTGGACTCGTCTCAGCCCTAGTTAGGACCACTTCTAGGATAAAGTGACTACCTCCACTTGGCCCACCCATTCAACACAAGTTTTGTCTTTACAGAAGCTCAGCAACTTCTAACAGACTACACCCCTTACCACTCTTAATCTCCGCCCATGATTATCAAGCTAACATAACCCTTCCATTCCAGGAGAGGTCAGAAGCCATCATAACGTACGCCCTGTGTGGCCTCTCTGGTATGTTGTCGGTGGCCATCCATCTTGCCATGATGGGAGCGTTCTTACCAAAGAGAAGGAAGTGGTTGTCCGAGATTGCAATGGCCGCTCTGGTGGCCGGTAATCTGGCCAACTGTTTGACAGGATGTTTCGCTTGTGAGTACTCTTGTCATTTTTAGCCCTTTCCCAATTGCCTCTTATTATTTATTTATTCATATTGCGTTGGTAATTAATTCTCCTTAGCAGGTCTTTAGGCAAAAAACTATTTTGAATTTTTTAAAACATGAGAATACATCATGTGACCAGGAAAACGTACCACATACAAAATTGCATAAATGGAACTTTTATTTTATTTAATTAATTTTTGTTTACAAAATATATTAATTGTTCTACTCCTGCTTATTCAGCAAACTCGGCATATATATATTTTTTTAAAACCTGACCTTTAAACTTTGACCAATGGGTCTAATCTCATTTTGAGCATGCGACATAGTATTTCACTCTTTTGATTTAACTTTTTAAATTTTGTTGTTGTTGATATTTTTTTTTTTATTTTCATTTCAGGTTTATTCTTTTGAATACAAGTTCAAAATACAAGTGTCCGAAGCAGACTATGTCTTTTTCATCCGCCATTGCGGTTTTTCATTGGTCATTAAAGCTTAGAAGCTTTTCTTAAAATTAGTAATGAAAAATTGTATATTTGCAATAAACTTTGATGGCTGACAACGTATGTTTCGTCATGATTTTTTTTTTTTTTATAAATTTATGTTATTTGGTGAGCATGTCTTAAGCCATCCGTCATGAATGCGATGAGTGATTCTGCCGATCAGATTGGATATTGCTTAGTCTCATAATTAAACAATGGCGTTCGTCTTCTACAAGACTGCTTACATTACTTAACGATGTGACTGAATTCTATGGTTTGAAAATTAGAATCACAAAATTGTGTTATATTTATAAAAAGAAATTTCTGAAGAGCATTGCAATAGGTCGATTTTTCTATATGAAAATCTCCGGAAAATGTATCGTAGACCTGAAACCGAATTCGACATATTGGTCAAAAGACATTACAAAATTTTGATGAGAGACAAAAGGATTAGAGACATTTGGATTAGAGACAATTGGATTAAATATATTAGGATTATACACATTTTTTTTAATTGGACACTTTTGTGATAGGGCATATTGAGATGACGTCACTATAGGTTGAATGATGTAGGTTGAATGATGTAGGTTGAATGATGTAGGTTGAATGATGTAGGTTGAATGATGTAGGTTGAATGATGTAGGTTGAATGATGTAGGTTGAATGATGTAGGTTGAAACTTAATGTAGAAAAAAGGTAAGTTAATAAAACATACACGTTGACACTTGAGGAACGATAACAGGATACTTTCTGAGGGAAGCTCAAGACCCACAACCAACGGGCACACTCTACAACCAACCACTTCAGTATCTTTGCATATCCTGATGACATAGCACTGCTAGGGAAAAGTATTAAAGACCTATCGAAATCCTTTATTGAATTAGGAGACGCATCACTACAAGCCGGGCTGCAAGTTAACAACCAATAAACAAAATACATGATCATGATAAGAGAAGAACGAACAGATGAAACAATTAAAATCAGGAACCAGGAAAAGTAAATCAATTCAAATACCGAGGATGTTTGTTAAATGAAAGAAACAAATTACTAGCAGAAATAAAAGAAAGGATATCAGTGGCAATTAGGGCATATTTCAGTAGTCAGAAAATACTCGAAAGTAAAAACATTACAAGAGAAACAAAGAAACCTATTTGTAAAATTGTAATCAGACCAGTTGTAACATATGCAAGTGAAACTTGGACCCTAACAAAAACGGTAGAAAACCTATTAAACACATGGGAGAGGAAAGTTCTCAGGAAAAAAATATGGGCCAACAAAGGATGAGTAGGGATGGAGAATACGAACCAACCACGAATTGTACAGTCTATATCAGGACCCTACGATAATGGAAGAAATAAAAAGAGGCAGGCTACGCTGGGCAGGACACCTAGAGAGAATGCCAAATGACAGAGGAACAAAGAAGGTACATCATCAATACCCCAGAGGGAGAAGGCTCAAAGGCAGACCTAGGCTTAGATGGATGGATGATGTGGAAAAAGATCTACAACAGCTGAAAGTCCAAGCATGGGAAAGAAAGGCATTAGTTAGGTCTGAGTGGAAGGAAGTGGTGAGGCAGGCCAAAGCCCTACATGGGCTGTAGCGCCACAGGGATGGATAATAAAACAAATATCATTTGACAAATACCTATCTCTTTAAATCAGCGGCGTCACCAGGATGGTGTGGTCAACCGATGGGGTAAACACCCTGCTCTGGGGGCACTCCGTTCTGGTACACGATGTTTTGGTATCTACCTGATCTTGTTACGCTCTGCTTGGGCATCACCCTCCTCTGGTATCACCCTCCTCTGGTATCACCCTCCTCTGGTATCACCCTCCTCTGGTATCACCCTCCTCTGGTATCACCCTCCTCTGGCATCACCCTCCTCTGGTATCACCCTCCTCTGGTATCACCCTCCTCTGCTATCACCCTCCTCTGCTCTCACCCTCCTCTGGATAGTGGGAGGAGACGTATCACCCTCCTCTGGTATCACCCTCCTCTGGTATCACCCTCCTCTGGTATCACCCTCCTCTGGTATCACCCTCCTCTGGTATCACCCTCCTCTGGTATCACCCTCCTCTGGTATCACCCTCCTCTGCTATCACCCTCCTCTGGCATCACCCTCCTCTGGTATCACCCTCCTCTGGCATCACCCTCCTCTGGTATCACCCTCCTCTGGCATCACCCTCCTCTGGTATCAGCCTCCTCTGGTATCACCCTTCTTAGGTATCACTCATCTCTCTCTTTAATATCCGAGTTCTGTGATTGAACCGACTTTGGCAAATTCTGTAAAAATTGTATTTTTTGTTTTTTTTGGTTTCACCAAATAATAGGTTGTTACCCGATGATTTCTTCAAATCCCCCCTTCCCCCCTCTCCCACAGTGACGCCTCTGCTATGAGTATCACAAGAAATAGTTAATCACACTTTCCTAATGACATAATCAGTTACCATATATTTAGCTAAATAAAATATGCATGTGGCAACATTTTGTTGGTTTGTAAATATGTACCACGAATAATCACTGCTGGATCAAGTACACAGGGACAAAGTTTACACCTAAAATACAACATGGTGTCCAGCTGACAGAGAAAACCATTGTCGTTCGTTTTTTTACAAGGAAAAAATGTAAATATGACACAGGATATTAGTTATTTTAAGTTTCTCTTATTTCATATAAGCTTTTTAATCTATTTCCCTCCTATGGAATACTTTTTTTTTATGAACTACAGCTCTGAAATAGGCTAAATTTTCACAAGCATGTAAACTAAATTGGAATTATTGGAAGGAAAAATCTCCATTTCGTGATCTAATCGAACTGGAAGTAATTGTTAAAGTAGGTCGAGATGTCTCACTTTCCTCTAATCGCAACAGAAGAGCACCGTTCTTGCTTCTGTCCATCACCTCCACAATCTGTTAGATACGATACAGAAATAGCACACCCCACCCCCACCCCCCAAACTACGTTGGTAGGAAGGTTGGATTTTTTTGTGGCTCGAATGTTTCCCACTTAAAGTGAAACAACCGTGTAGCTACTTATTAACTTGGTGCATTCAAAGCCACTACATTCACCCTACTGTAGTAAGGCTGCAACACTCAATACAATGTATCATATTAGTCAAACTTAATACATGTATCACAATAGTGATGCTAAATAAATGTATAATATTAATAAACATAAATACATGTATCACACTAGTCAAATTAAATACAGGTGTCACATTAATTAAAATAAACACATATATGACATTTTCAAACTAAATAAATGTATCACATTGAAAATGCTAAACACATTTATAACATTTGCCAAACTATAAACATGTAGTGACTCCAGCTAGTTGACTGTGTCCGTCTTAAACTCGGTGGCCCACTGCTCGGCCCACCTGTTGTAATCAGTCACCGGGGCGTCGAGACGCCGGGTCACGTCCTTGACCCTCGGCGACAGCGCGTGCTCCCATTTCGGACGAATCGTGTCAAGAATGTCCATGGCGCGCTCCATGCGGTACGACAGCACGATGCGGCGATCGTGGGGTAACGGAGACGACGAGTAGACGGAATGCCGCCTGGTCAGCGGAGTCCTGACCCGTTCGCTGTCCATGAGAAGTTCATTGGATTTGTCGGCTTTATTGGCGGCCAGGATTGGGAACGCCAAAGAAAGGCGTCGGAGATTGTCCAGGGATGAGCTGGCAGTCTCTTTGGCATTTTGTTGAGGACTTGGGACCCGAGTTTGAGAAACGGTGTCGGGGTTCAAACTGGGGCTAGATTTTCTTTGAATGTTCCTGACGTCCCCAACATCGCTATTATTTTCTACTAACTCCGTTAAAGTCATGTTTTCTGCAACGACAATGTTTGTTGGTGAGGCACCTTGATCGGTTACGTATGGAGGTTTCCTAGCCCTCACACGGACCTCGTGTTTTGACACCAGCTTTGTCGCCACGAGCGTGGATTTTTCCGAGATGGCGACGCTATGGTGGGGCGTCTTATTCCTCTTGATCATGTCGTTGTACTCTGGGTATTTGGTCGAAAGCTTATCGGCGATGACATCCTCATACCCTTTCATCATAGCGTATTGGGCCTCCGGGGACATGAAGGATGAGAACCGCGGAGTTTTGGGCAAGTTGTCGACAATCTCTGCGCCATTCACCTGTGTAGTTAAAACACATAGGTAACTCTGTCAAATGAACTTAGTTAAGAAAATATATCGATATGATTACAAAACACAGAAATAAACCTTTGATCCTCTTCGATACTTGATATAAAAGCTATGTCTCGGTTTCATATATATCTGGTCCACAATAAGATTTAATATTGTCCGCGGTCTGTACTATAATTTATTCGACGTTCTACAACTCTATTGATGCCAAGTTATTAGAACTGAAATTGTTTACGTTTCGTTTCATTACTTTAATTATTGTTTTTTAATACTTAAAATAAAAAAAGTTATTTTTTTAAAAACAAAAAGCATTAAAGATTGCAAAAAGGGAAATAACTCACATTATCTTTATTTGTTCCCCCAACTACGCTTGTCTTCCTTGGTGTCATCGCATTACGAAATTTCAGCAGATTTGTCACCCTTTTGGTCATCGTCTGAAAGCTTGCCCGTGGCCCAAGGTGACCCAGTGACAGTGACGGCCGTGAGCCCTTCAGGGCGGCAACGTCTTCAGACAGGCTGACCTTGCTAATCGGGCTCTCGACTAAAGACGTTTGTGTGCTGGCCATGGAAGGTTTTCTCTTGTTCACCGAATCCTCTGCGGACGGAGTGACCCACGGTGACGCAAGGGCCATGTCTTGACTTTGATGTCTGCTCCGCGATACCTTTCGGACGTCATGACGTGCATCTTTAAGACTGTTGATGACGTCTTGAACATTTGAGATGGTGTAGGTACGCCGCGGAGGACGCCTTTGTGCCCTGGACATCCCGTCGTCATCCGAAGCGTTAACGTGCAGTTTCGCCTCCGGGTTGTGGGGTTGCGGTTGTCGCGCCTTGGAGGTTTCACCGTGGCTCGTGCTTCTGTGGAAACTGACAACCTCTTTCATTCGTATTTGAACTTTGTCCAGCCCTGCGTCATTGGAGACTCTCTTATCTGGCCTCGTTTCCGTTTTCTTGACAGTGTTTTGACTTTTCGAATTGTCTTCTGTTTGATTAGGGACGGGTGCTTGTCGCGAATGGTTTAACATGTTCTCGTTCACTGTCGACCTGAAAAGAAAAGCATGAAGAATGAAGACTAATCTTAATAAGCAAAGGGAATACATTCAACGAATTATCAGTTTCAACGAACACACATTTTTGGTATTCGAGACTTTTAATCCCTAGGCAGACTGCCAACATTTCCCCCTTGACCCATCATCATCATCATCATCAGCATGCCCCTTAATCCTTGGACCGTTGGGGCGCCACAGATGACATGTGAACTATCCTCCTCCATTCGTATCTGACTTCTGCACTACGCACAGCATCGCCTAGTTTTAGTCCCGTCAACTCCTTGATGTTACCTTCCCATATTTTTCTTTGTCTTCCTCTTCTTCTCCCTCCTCTTGTGGTGCCCTGCATGAGTTGTTTGACTACAACTTGCTAAATGACAACTTAACAAGATTAGTTACATAATTACTCCGTACACTTTGCAATGTAAAACAACCAGCTAAGACTTTACGTTGATATATTGTGTGGGGCTTAATTATTTGGACACTCCTCCTCCCATCTTCTATGTGATTTATCCACCTATTTATCCACCTATTTATCCACCTATTTGTCCACCTATTTATCCACCTATGTATCCACCTATTTATCCACCTATGTATCCACCTATTTATCCACCTATTTATCCACCTATTTATCCTTCTATGTATCCACCTATTTGTCCACCTATTTATCCACCTATTTATCCTTCTATTTATCCACCTATTTTTCCACCTATTTGTCCACCTATTTGTCCACCTATTTGTCCACCTATTTGTCCACCTATTTATCAACCTATTTATCCACCTGTTTATCCACCTATTTATCCTTCTATTTATCCACCTATGTATCCACCTATTTATCCACCTAATTATCCTTCTATGTATCCACCTATTTGTCCACCTATTTATCCCCCTATTTATCCTTCTATTTATCCACCTATTTGTCCACCTATTTGTCAACCTATTTGTCCACCTATTTATCAACCTATTTATCCACCTGTTTATCCACCTATTTATCCTTCTATGTATCCACCTATTTGTCCACCTATTTATCCACCTATTTATCCTTCTATCTATCCACCTATTTGTCCACCTATTTGTCCACCTATTTGTCCACCTATTTATCAACCTATTTATCCACCTGTTTATCCACCTATTTATCCTTCTATGTATCCACCTATTTGTCCACCTATTTATCCACCTATTTATCCTTCTATCTATCCACCTATTTGTCCACCTATTTGTCCACCTATTTGTCCACCTATTTATCAACCTATTTATCCACCTGTTTATCCACCTATTTATCCTTCTATGTATCCACCTATTTGTCCACCTATTTATCCACCTATTTATCCTTCTATCTATCCACCTATTTGTCCACGTATTTGTCCACTATTTTTTCCGCTTCTTTGTCCGTGATACGAGCATCCTCACATAACTTCAATTGAAGAATTATCCTCATTATGCTTGTCGAATTCATATTGCCTTATTTAATTCATTTGTGTCGTAATCGAAGTCATAATTTTCATTTGAAATACAATTCTTTAGCCGTTTTTAAAATGCTTATCTGGTTGGTTGAAGTGTTGAGTTTCTGCTGAACTTGAGAACATTCCAGATAGTTCTGCCTCGTGAAAGGCTGCATTGAATTTGTCAGGTTTGTTAGAAATCAATACGCGAGCCGGTCGTCGAGTGCTGTAACGTTTTAGCTGGTGCAGTGATTTATTAGCACTTACTCCAGACTTATATCACGGTATTATGAGCTAGGTCAGAGGTTCCCCAACATTTTCGATTCTCGGTGGCCTTGCTGAATCGAAGTTCTCCCTATTCAAATTCTAAATAGTTCACCGCAAAAAAAAAAAAAAAAAAAAAGAAACAAAAAATTACTTGGGTTTTCTTTTAACAAAATATGAGCTAGGTCAGAGGTTCCCCAACATTTTCGATTCTCGGTGGCCTTGATGAATCGAAGTTCTCCCTATTCAAATTCTAAAAAGTTCACCGCAAAAAAAAAAAAAAAAAAAGAAACAAAAAATTACTTGGGTTTTCTTTTAACAAAAGGGTTGTGTAAAAAATATATTAATGATTTAATTAAATTTATAAAAAAATTAACTAAGTTAAGTCAACTAATTTAAATTAGTGTGAAACATGAGCCTGCTTGCAACACCGAATTTTTATGAAAAAAATTGGCTAACACTAGACAGCGTTCAACGAAAACTCGGCCTCGCAACTTTAAGAAGTCTAAAATGGCATTTTAAGTATCTCAACTTGACCAATAATGGAAAATGTATATTTTAATGATACTCAAAACTTAGTTAATTTCCTGTTGCTTGATTTTGTGTTCCCCTTTCTGTCGCGAGGGAACTCAATAAGGTTCTCTTTTCTGCGGTAGTCATTTATAAAAATTACATGGATTTTGTAACCATGCAAAATGTTATCATTTTATCGCTCAGTTTGAGAACTTGTGGTCCAGGCTGAAAGGTAATACTAGTTAGCTAAGGCGTGGGTGTTTTGCTCATGGTTAATTGTATTTTGAGTGCACGTTTTCTGTTGATGAAACATATATAAAACTGGCTTTAGGTTTGGGAAAAGGCTGAATAGTCATGCTAAATAATGTAAATTAGGCCTTTTTGCCCGATTCATAGAATCTTGCACTTATCAGAACACGTTTTTGCTATTAACACTGTCTTACTTACCCTTAAAACTCTTTAACAACACTACAACAATACATAATTTTCATAAGTTGGTAAAGAACAGGGGCTCCCAAACTGGAGGTCTGGAATCCCAAAATTTGTCAAGAAGGCTCTATTTTATAAACGATGGATTTCTCTTTGTTCAAGTCCTACTTGCGGCAATAACAATGGCGAACACTCGACTTGCTCTGTTTTTTTTTCCGTATTGTCATCTTTCATGTCTGCAGAGGAAGTCTCAGTCTTAGCCGAAACGTTCTTCTCTTGTTGCCCTGTCTTTCATTTCCAGCTTCCACACACCTTGTTTAACTATTTCATTTCCCCCACACACCTTGTTTAACTATTTCATTTCCTCCACACACCTTGTTTAACTATTTCATTTCCCCCACACACCTTGTTTAACTATTTCACTTCCTCCACACACCTTGTTTAACTATTTCACTTCCTCCACACACCTTGTTTAACTATTTCACTTCCTCCACACACCTTGTTTAACTATTTCATTTCCCCCACACACCTTGTTTAACTATTTCATTTCCTCCACACACCTTGTTTAACTATTTCATTTCCCCCACACACCTTGTTTAACTATTTCATTTCCTCCACACACCTTGTTTAACTATTTCACTTCCTCCACACACCTTGTTTAACTATTTCATTTCCCCCACACACCTTGTTTAACTATTTCATTTCCTCCACACACCTTGTTTAACTATTTCATTTCCCCCACACACCTTGTTTAACTATTTCATTTCCTCCACACACCTTGTTTAACTATTTCACTTCCTCCACACAGCTTGTTTAACTATTTCATTTCCTTCACACAGCTTTAACGCAGTCATTCATTTATTATCATTTATTCTTTTTTGTAAACCATTCCACCCCCACCCTCCACCACCGATTTTAAAATCCTTTTTCACCAAAGTGGGGGTGCGAGACTTATTCAAACGGTTCAGAGGGGGGCGCATAACCTGGAAAGGTTTTATGGAACCCTGACGTAAAAGAAGACACAAATTGTCTTCCCAGTCAAGAGTATGCAGAGCTGGTGCCACCACCTGGACACTCTTCTTTAAGGCTCAGTGGGCCTGAGGAGGTGACGATCCAACCTATTGTTGCAATCGTCGAAATAAAAATAGATATGCGTGGATCCCTTGCTTCATGGAACCTCGGTCATGCGGCAACGTATACACGATTGAACAACTTACACTAGAGTGAACAACGTGCATGAGATTGAACAACGTGCATGAGACTGAACAATGTACACTAGATTAATCACAGCTCTTTGGATAGAATGCAGTACATTATATTGAACGAATTTCAAAATATACTGTTATTTTTACGCCAGAGCTCTTGAAATTTTTTGTAAGCAAAGCTAGAAGAGACTTTTATCATTGAAGTACCAATACCTTATTTGGGGAGAAAGAACTGGCTGGCGGACCACTTCAGGACGAAGGTGGTACAGGCAATGGAAAGACAATGCGACCGCCAGAGGCGTCTTTTCAATTTTACCCACTCCTAGCAAACAAGACAAGTTGTGGGGGTTAGGCCGCAGACAGCAGAACTTGTGACGCAAATGCGCACCGAGCATCGCCCCATTGGCATATATTTCTGGCGGCTGGATAACAACAGGGATCTTACCTGTCGGCATTGCAGCCGTGTCCCTGCGACACTAGCGCACCTGTTGAACGAATGTCCTTTACTAGATCTCCCGGGGCAAGCCAGGGCGGTTGGAGAACACTTTGTGAGGAAAATGTATGGCTCAGGTCAAAAGATGGAGCTGGTAGCCAATTTACTAGCCGGGGTCTTAAGAGAGTAATCTCAGACCCTCACCAGAATATGTGAGTTAGTTAGTTGAAACTTTTCAATTGAAAGTGAATTCTCAAAGAACACGGCTTGAGTCTACGATCATAGGAAAATTTAGCGACTCATTTCAGTCAAATTTAACCCCCCCCCCCCCCCCCCACACAAAAAAAAAAAAAAAAAGTAAGATTTTTTTAGCAGGCCTCGATGCTTGAGCTTTTAAAATGTTTTTTGAGCTGATAAAGGTGTCTTATGGGAAATAAGGGTTTGATAGATGCAATACATTTTAGTTACAGGTAGTGAATGGTTCTTGCAGGTAATGAATGTTTGTTACACGTCAAAAATGATTGGTTTAGGTGATGAATGTTTGTTTTATGTAATGAATGTTACATGTAATAAAAGTTTGTTTAAGGTAATGAATGTTACATGTAAAAAATGAGTCTTTCAGGAAATTAATGTTTGTTTCAGGTAATGAATGTTACATGTAAAGAATGTTTGTTTAAATAAATTAATGTTACATGTAAAAAAAGACTGCTTCAGATAATGAATGTTACATGCAAAGAATGATTGTTTAAGGTAATGAATGTTACATGTAAAAAAAGACTGCTTCATGTAATGAATGTTAAAAAAATTGCCTTTAGCAAACAAAATGTTCAAAGCAAAAAGGTGTCAATCAGTTTTAACATTAACGAGCTACGCAACAGCCTTAACACATTTTTTTTTGTAATCCTATTTATGACCTGCCCAGGTCTCCTCAACCTTCTCTTGAATTCTCTTACGTCCAGGTTTAAGCTTTCGTCCGTACCTGCCTCCCGTAATCTGTGGGAGACGTAGCACTGGCATGTGCGACGGTTGTAAATTTCCAGGAACAAACAAGCCGTTTGTTGACGCCGCCGGCCATTGTTTGTTGTCACGACATCGTAAATAGGCATGTCGTTATCACTGGCGGGCAGCGGTTCTCTGGCTGTTTTGTTTGGTCTCCGGCGATATCCGACGTCGTAAGTTCGCTGCCGCAATCACCAGACAGCAGTTCTCTATCTGTTTTGTTCTTTTTTTTTTTAGTCGCAGCATTTATCTGGTATGGTAATACTATGTCCTCATCACTAGACAATGCTTCTCTATCTGTTTTGTTTAGTCCTTAGCGTCATCTAGAAGTTGAGTCAATGGTATAGTGAAAGTTGCCATAAAAATCGTTTTCTTGAGGAAAAGAAAAACACAGACTGCAATTTCTAAATAGATTGATCCCGGAATTCTCTCGTGCTTAAATTTTTATACATTTTAATACATCAACTACATTATTAAGAAAACGTGCAATTATATTAACCAGAAATGTATCTTTTAAATAAATACTTTGTCAATACTTTTTTTTCTCCCTTTAATGATTAGGAAAGAAATGTCAAATTACGTATTCTTAAAATAGGGTAATTGCTTTAAACATGGAGTCAAGCATGGTTATTTAAATAAGGGCCGTAATGTAAGTGCTTGAAGCCCAAATAACAACCGCCATCTTGTCTATAGTACACTGAACATCACCCGCCAAACAGATATGTTACATAATTATGTTAATTTCAGAAAAGAATTCTGGGAACACCTCCCCCCCTCCCAAAAAAATGTGCAGCCAGTAGATATCATTTTTCTCGTAACACTTGAGTCGGTAACGTGGTATCGGGAATAACAAAATTTGTATCATTTTAAGGAGATTTATGAAAAGTTTATGTAGTTTTATGAATGATACATCCTTGATTGAGTGTTCCCTTAAAATTTCAAACGTTTCCTTAACGCCTCAAAGGTTCCATTAAAGTCTCGTTGCCGTCCTTAACGTCTCAAAATTTCACTTAATGTCTTGAAGGTTCCCTTACCGTCTCTGTGTGTCTGTGTGTCTGTGTGTGTGCCTGTGTGTAAGCTTGTGTGTTTGCCTGTGTGTGTGCCTGTGTGTGTGCCTTACTGTGTGCCTGTGTGTATATATGTGTGTGTGCCTGTGTGTGTGCCTGTGTGTGTATCTTTTTGTGTGTATGTGTGTGTATCTGGGTATGTGCCTATGTGTGTGCCTGTGTGTGCCTGACTGTGTGCCTGTGTGTTATCTGTCTGAGTGCCTGTCTGTGTGTGTGTGCCTGTGTGTGTGCCTGTGTGTTTATCTGCGTGGTTGCCTGTATGTGTGCCTCACTGTGTGCCTGTGTGTGTATCTGTGTGTGTGCCTGTGAGTGTATCTGTGTCTGTGTGTGTATCTGTGTGTGTGTGCCTGTGTGTATGCCTGTCTGTGTGCCTGTGTGTGTGTCTGTGTGTGTGTCTCTGTGTGTGCCTGTCTATGTGCCTGTGTGTGTGTCTGTGTGTGTCTACGTGTGTGCCTGTGTGTGCCTGTGTATGCCTGTGTATGTGCCTTTGTGTGTACCGGTGTATGTGCCTGTGTTTGTGCCTGTGTGTGCCTGTGTGTGTGCCTGTCTATGTGCCTGTATATTTGCCTGTGTGTGCCTGTGTGTGTGCCTGTCTATGTGCCTGTATATTTGCCCGCGTGTGTATGTTCCTGTATGTGTGCCTGTGTACGTGCCTGTGTATGTGCCTGTGTGTGTGAATGTGTATGTGCCTATGTGTGTTCCTCTGTATATGCTGACGTGTGAATGTGCCTGTGTTTTACTGTGTTTGGGCCTGTGTATGTGCCTGTGTGTGTTCCTTTGTATGTGCCAGCATGTGTATGTGCCTTAGTGTATGCGTGCATGTATGTGCCTGTGTATGTGCCTGTATATGTGCCCGCGTATGTATGTTCCTGTATGTGTGCCTGTGTACGTGCCTGTGTATGTGCCTGTGTGTGTGCCTGTGTATGTGCCTGCGTGTGAATCTGTGTATGTGCCTTTGTGTATCGCTGTGTGTGTGTCTTTGAGTGTGCCTGTGTATGTGCCTGTGTGTGTTCCTCTGTACGCGCCTGTGAGTATACGTGCCTGTGTGTGTGCCTGTATATGTGCCTGTATGATATTCTATTAAGATTTCTTGCAGGGCACATCATAATATTTATGGTCCAAACAATTATCATACAAAAGGTCAGCTTTAGGTTTCTGTACATTGCTGATCTGATATTGACCTTCCTTTCCTTCAGTGGATTCAAGGTCATGTCATTTTAACCGGTAGAATTTTTGCAGGTTCCACCAAAATGCAGTCGCAACACACTTAGTTGATCAACATGGCCTGTTGGCCATATTCATTGGATTCCCAGTTCAAACTGGATCTACGAGTCAAGTTATTTTCACTACTTTGTTCTAGTTTTACATTTTAACCTTTGTTTAGCCGTTTAACCCACCAACCAACCAACCAACCAACCAACCTACCAACCAACCATGTTAAAAAGTGGGGCTCAAGGCGTCAAACTTTCTCTCAAACAGAGAACTGAATCCTTTCTTAATTAGCAAATAGATTAGTATGGGGATGGTATAGTCTTATTTGGATGGTATAGTCCTCGTTATTTGGATGGTATAGTCCTCTTTATTTGGATGGTATAGTCCTCGTTATTTGGATGGTATAGTCCTCTTTATTTGGATGGTATAGTCCTCTTTATTTGGATGGTATAGTCCTCTTTATTAGGATGGTATAGTCCTCTTTATTAGGATGGTATAGTCCTCGTTATTTGGATGGTATAGTCCTCTTTATTTGGATGGTATAGTCCTCGTTATTTGGATGGTATAGTCCTCTTTATTTGGATGGTATAGTCCTCTTTATTTGGATGGTATAGTCCTCTTTATTAGGATGGTATAGTCCTCGTTATTTGGATGGTATAGTCCTCTTTATTTGGATGGTATAGTCCTCTTTATTTGGATGGTATAGTCCTCTTTATTAGGATGGTATAGTCCTCTTTATTTGGATGGTATAGTCCTCTTTATTTGGATGGTATAGTCCTCGTTATTTGGATGGTATGTCCTCTTTATTTAGATGGTATAGTCCTCGTTATTTGGATGGTATAGTCCTCTTTTTTTGGATAGTATAGTCCTCTTTTTTGGATGGTATAGTCCTCTTTATTTGGATGGTATAGTCCTCTTTATTTGGATGGTATAGTCCTCTTTATTTGGATAGTATAGTTCTCTTTATTTGGATGGTATAGTCCTCTTTATTTGGATTGTATAGTCCTCTTTATTTTGATGGTATAATCCTTTTTATTTGGATGGTATAGTCCCCTTTATTGTTGTCATAAAGAAGAATACGGATGCAGGATTCTTTAAATCTACTGTAAATTTTAACAATGAGTTTTGCTGTATTTGTCTGTTTGAAGTTTGAAAAGACCAAATTCTAATGACGAACAGAAAAATTCATAAGATTCATAAACTATCAGATGAGATCATCTTCGATGGAAAAAAAAAAAAGTGGAAAATGAAAATGAGTAGCGTGGGACAAATAATTCCAAACTACTAATGACCAATGCGAGCGTTGGAATGGTTGCTACAACATCAGCGTAACAACAAAGGAAATCACTGCGCTAGGTTCTAAACACAGCAATGTTTCCAAATTACTTAAATAGTTCTGAGAAAGCATGTTACGTGATGGAAATTGAAATGTCTACAATTAATTTTTCTTTCATCCACCTCCAAGAGAAAATGATGTCATTTCCCGGGAAATATTTCCAACGAAATGCGAAGCCCAGAAAAAAAGCGTGTTTGATGGAGAATCAACTGTTTCCAATTCATCATACTTCCTATCTAAGCAGCTGGTGAACCCTCGGGAACTACATCGGAATTATCAATACACCTTGGACACATGACCAAAGCAGGTGTTTGCCGGAGTTTTCAGTCCTCCCCCCCCCCTTTCCTCTGCCTCTGCTTTCAAAGTTTGATCTTTGAGCCTTTTTTTTTTACTTATCACATCTTTGGGTTCCCTAAATATTTGCCCCTGCCCTGCACTGAGTAAAATTTCACACTCCCTGAGTGGAGTCGTAGTTTACGCCCTTTTAAAAAAAAAGGGTGGGGGTTGTAGCCACAAGGTAAGTGAGCTTTCTAGAAGGAGTTTCGTTTCTCTTTCGCCTCAAACCGTCTTTATTTGATAGCGAACTGATGATTGCCAGCCTCACTACCTTAGAAGGTTCACATATTAAGGGGAAACAATTATTTTGAAAAACATATACTGTAATATGTGAATATTCTTCTGAAATTACATACGGACTATACACGTGAGGTCTCGCTCTAAACCCGCAGCCTGCACTGACATGTTTTAGTGTCCGTGGCCTTTCAGGATCATTCTGACATTTGATTCTCTTCAGGTAACAGAGATTCAAATATTATTCCTGCCATTTGATTCTCTTCAGGTAACAGATTCAAATATTGTGCACAATGACCTAAAAATCCTTTCCGTTGCTCAGACTTTTAAATGGCAAGTAGAGTCAAGTATCCACAGCAATCATGCATTCATCCGTGGATCACACATCGCACTGCTTTGTGATTAGTATAGCAATGTTTAAAGCCAATGTCTCTAAAACACTGAAATGTACACCTTTAAATGGTCAACAACCAACTAAAATCATACGACGCACTCACTTGCCCTTAACAGTGCAGTGCACATGACAACCAAAACACGATGCAATACTAGAGCATATCAGAAAATTCGAAAGATGAAAATGAAACGCAAAAAAAAAAAAAAAAATTTGAAAAGCGATTTAATTTCGCCTGATTTGAACTTTATTTATTCATTGTTGTTTAAATCAATTTTTTTTTATTTAAAAAATCTAAACGTCTATCAAATAGATAGAATAATTGAAATAATCTTATTTCTGTTATATTCGGCGCAGTGAATTCATAAATTGATGAGAGCCTAAGTTAATAACAACTTACTTAAAGAGATATTTTTATTCCTCTGTAAAATCTGTTTTGTGAACAATGTAATTTAAAGCTAAATTCATGACGTACACAATTTTTACATGTATAATAAAATTAACATTAATTGCATGCAAAAATCTCCTCAAATTAATAGTTAAAAAATGGTTATATACATACCTGGTTTCAGAATAATGTATTGATTTGTAAAGAATAAAGTTGACAAAAAGTAAAACCAATCTGGCACTGCAGTCACAACACTTGCTGAATTCGCCAATGACATCTATAATGAATGGCGGCTACCCCAACGTTCGTTTTACCGTAAGGGAAACTCAGTCCCTCCGATAGATCGATATCTTTAAGCCGCTGAGCAGGCGTCGGGAATCATGGGGCTTGTTGTCACAATACAGCACTTGTCTTACGGCAGTAGTGCCACAATGACGCTGGACTCATGAGAGAATGGGTAGGACAGATACAACAGGAGAAAATGGGGTATAGGTAGGACAGGTACAAGAGTAGAAAGCGGGGTGTATAGAGAACTGGTACAACAAGGGAATATGGAGTGCAGGTAGAACAGATACAACAGGAAAATATGGGTGCAGACAGGACAGGTACAAAAGTAAACTATGGGATCTAGGTAGGACAGGTACAAAAGGAAAATATTAGGTATAGGTAGGACAGGTACAACAGAAGAATATGCTGTGTAGGTAGGACAGGTACAGCATGTGTGAGTCAGAGGAGATGGGACTGGATGACTGGGTTTTCTTATGATTTTCGGGGTCCTTAGGCATTAAGCGTAGGAAGGGGGCCCCGAAAGGGGGGGGGGCGAAGCTGATGAGAAAACACCACCCACCTCTGCGAAACGTCCATACTGTCTCCGTCACTGTTTCGTATTTGCTCGCGTGTAACTACTGGTCTAACCATATAAATAATTCCACCGCTAGAGAAAATGTGTACGTCTAAAATATATTAGATGAACTTGTGCGTCCCAGTCATCACTTAGTGGATAAGGCAGGGTTGCTTGTGAGAGGGTATATAGGATAAACATTTCTTTGCCAGACTTGTATTGAGGAACGATTCCATATATCAAGAGTCGTAGAAAAATCCTCTGAGGCGTGGGTGATGCAGATGACAAAAGGCTTTTTGATGATCGCTTTCAGTGGCAAGAGATCTGTCTCTACTGTGATCTGGCGCCCACAGACATAGTAATGAAAATGTTCAACTCCAAATACTATTGCAAGTATTTCTTTTTCTATTTGAGCATATCTTTTTTCACGCTCTGTTAAAGACCTGGATGCATAAGCCACCGGTCTCTCACTTTGAATTAATACGGCTCCAAGTCCTTCTTGCGAAGAATCCACTGACACCTTGAATGGCTTTGACTGGCCGTTGAATGACAGTGTTGAGGTCTCTAGGATCAAGACAGATCCTTAAACCACCAAATTTTTTCAACAATAACATAAGAGTTGACCCATGCAGTGGAATGATCAACTTTCTCAATGACACCTTCATTTTCCGTCCTCTCAAGTTCTTTCTTATGGTAATCTCGTAATGCCGCTGGAACTTTTCTAGGGGCATGTACCATTGGCTTAATAAGTGGATCAATTTTGATTGTGTGCTGTTCTTCCATGTTAAGTCTGAACATTTATTGAGCATGATCATTGCTCTACGAGTTGGTCTGTTTAATCTAGGCCATGTATTTGAATTTTTTCAAAATTAATTCAGTTTTATGCCGATGTCTGATGCCTAAATAACATCAAATTACAATGATTATTTCTCAGTAGTCTCACAGCGGTAATGCCCTTGTCCTATAATCCCATGGTTCTTTTTCTGCTTAACCTATAATCCCATTGTTCAATTCCCTCTTATCCTATAATCCCATGGTTTTATTCCCCATTGACCTATAATCCCATCGTTCTTTTCCCCCTTGACTTATTATCCAATGGTTCTATTCCCTCTTGTTCTATAATCCCATGGTTCTATCCCCCCTTGTCCTATAATCCCATGAATCAATTTTCTCTTTACCTATAATCCCATAGTTCTACTCCCCCTTGTCTTATAATCCCCTGGTTCTATTCCCTTACCATCGGTCATATCCCCCCTCCCAGCTAGCACATTCATTAAGTTCTAGTTCTCTGCAATTCTCAACCCCAAGCCCCCCTTATCATGAATCCCCCTCAAACTAGTCGACTCGCCTTATTTACCGGATACTATTTCTGGTTATATAATGTATGATCAGTACCCTCCTATATGGTAAGTGTAGTGTGGATCACATAAGTGGAAACTCAACAGATTATATCAAAAATGCATGCGTCGCATTTTGCGAATTCGATGACAGGTCAAGGTGTCTAACACAACGTTTTTGGAACGTGCAAAAATGTGCAGCATGATCTACGCGCCTTTCTTTGGTTAGGCCATGTAAGGAGAATGGAGGAAGGCCTTATTCCAAAGGACCTGCTGTAACGAGAGTTGGCTGAAGGGGCAAAATTCCCCCCCCCCCCCGCAGCTGTTATTAAAAGACGTTTTCAAAAGAAATATGACGTAGGCAAACATAGAAAATCAACGAATTGGAGATCATCGCTGAGCACCTTTCCAGCCTGAGAACATCAGTGTATCAAGGAGTCAAAAAGGCAGAGGATGCGCGAAACAAAGCCCTTGTAACAAAAAGAACATTACGGGAGGCTAAATTTAACCGGGATACAAGGTTCTCCTATGAGAAATGTAGCCGAGACTGTCATTCCAGGATAGGCCTAGTCAGCCATTTGAAGCATTGCCCACAGCTAGTCCATCAACTCGGGAAAACGGTAGGATGCCATAGATTCCCTGGCTATATTAGCCTGTATCTACTCCCTGTATTTCTTTTTTTTTTCCTTTTCCACTTGCACTGTGGGCTTCTGGTCCAATTTTCCTACCTCCAGAACACCCCCCCCACCCCAGTCATATTCCTCTTGCCATATGGCTTCATTTTTTAAATCTGCACACACACATACACTAACACAAACACTAGCAAAAACACTGTGTAGAAAATGTAAGAATCCAACGTTACCTGTATAACTAAACACTAAGTTAAAGCCATCGTAACCAAGGACTCCGGAAATGCCTTGTTAGCAACAGTGTACCTCGACAGTGGAGAGCTCCAATAAATTCACATGCCGTAATATCAGCCTTTGAAAATTGCTTGACACACTGTGACCCCCTTACCACCTTGCTTGACACACTGTGACCCCCTTACCACCTTGCTTGACACACTGTGACCCCCTTACCACCTTGCTTGACACACTGTGACCCCCTTACCACCTTGCTTGACACACTGTGACCCCCTTACCACCTTGCT